AAAAGGCGGTTGAGCGTGCGATCCGACCGCTTCGGCGAGCGGACCTCCGGATCCGCCGCACTCTGACGTATAAAACGCGAGATTTGCGAAAAAAATCGAACCTCGAGACGCATGTATTTATGCCTCTATATAGCGATACGTAATCGGTACCTACTCTCGTTTCCGCGACGCCTATACTCCCCGGGGCTCGTTTTTGAAAAAGTAGGGCCGCGCGCCGGCTATAAATTTAGCGGAGAACGCGAATACGTCTCCGACGGGGAGGTCGGACGTCTCGTAGAGGTGCTAAACGCGACTCTAGTCGAAAAAGTCGAGAAAACCGTCGAAACGGCGACGACGTGGCGCTCTCGGCGATCGAATCGTCCGCCGGGGGACTGGATTATAAAAAAGAAGGGCCGCGCGCCGAATAAAAATTTAGCGGGGAACGCGAATAAGATCGAAACGGGGAGGTCGATACGCCCTAAAACGCCTAAAACTCGAATTTTCGAAAAAAACGGCAAAAAACGCGCGCGACGGCGACGCTCGTATCGCACGCGACATCCGCCGCCGCGGGCCCGCCGGGCCAAAAGTAGGGCCGCGCGCCGACTATAAATTTACCGAGGAACGCGAATAAGGTCCGAACGGGGCCGCCCGAGGCCTCCGAGGGGGGTAAAACTCGAAAATTTTGAAAAAAAATCGTGAAAGACGGTCGAAACCGCGAAAAGCGATAAGGAGGAGTGATAACGCAGCGACTGCTCCGCCGCCGCGATTTCCCGCCATTGTTCACTACAGCAGTTCGGATTTAACACATAGGCGGCGCCACTCGTGTTTCTGTTTTATAGATATAGACTAGCTCTCCGAGCGTCGCTGGGGGACACCCCCAAACCCCCGGGTGTGGGTCATGAGTGTTGTCGATTTCGGAAGCAGCGGTGGTCTCATGGTGCGGTCGTGGGTCTCAGCCGACACGTTGTATGGGTGATGTGGAGGTATGGTGATAAGGATGTGTGATAAGGCTAGGACCACTGTGGTTCGACGTGGTAGCCCGTGGTAGCCAGGGCAGTGTCTTTTCGACAACGCCGCCAGAAATTCGAAATTTGGTAAAAAAATAATATAGTAATTTTTGTGGGTGTCTAGCAGTTCGGTCACCTAGAATGACGTTCGCCGTAGTAATAGTATTTGGGGTCTAGCGGGTCAGTCACGTTCCTTGACTTTGGTCGTAGTCACCCTTGAAAACGCAAAATTATAGAATAAATTATGTGAAGAAAATTCAAAATTTTTCGGGCGTCCGTGCAAATCATATAGCCCCCGTCTGATTTTGGTGTCTAGCAGGTCACCCATCTATTTTATCCTTGTAGGCAACCGACAGGATGTTGGAGGTAGACAACGTGACGACCGGTTCGTGTCATCGGCTATATAATTTACGTGAAAATATGTTTTGGGGTCTAGCAGGTCAGTCACCTTCCTCGACGTTGTTCGTATTTTTGTGGGTGTCGGATAATGTGTGATGGCCGCGTGTCATGTCATCACGTATGCAATCCGACTGCGTCGAATCGCGGACACCGTTCATTACTGTCACCGAAAACGGATAGTTAAGTAAAAATATCATCTGGTCGTCGGTCTCTAGCCGGTCGTTGTGTCATGAGATTTGCACCACCGTGGTTCCACGTGGTAGCCCGTGTGAGCAACAACGTTCGCCGACAACGTTCGCCGAATGACCCCGGAAATTCTAAATCCCGTACAAAATCATATTGTTGCCGGGATTTTTTTCCTCTCTACCAGGTCAGTCAACACGAATGACGTCCGCCTTAGTAAAACTTCTAGGATATATGACAATGTGCGACGGTCGAGTTTTATAGCTGCCCTTTAGTTTAGGTGTCTACCAGGTCGGTCGCCTTACGCGACGTTTCAGCACAGAATCATAACGCAGAACCCACCATGATTATGAAAATCTCATATAAAAAATAATATAAAGTCACGTTCCTCGACTTTGCTCGTAGTCACCCTGGAAGGCAGCCCGACAATATTCGACGGCTGGAGCACGTCATCACGTATGCGATCCGACTGCGTCGAATAGCGGACGACGTTCGTTACTGTTACCGAAAACGCAAAATTAAAGAAAGAATAAATTAAGTGAAGAAAAATCAAAATATTTTGGTTGTCCATGCAAATCATATAGCCACCGTCTGATTTGTTGGTGTCTAGCAGGCCAGTCATCAATGTTCTCCGGGTAGACAACGTGCGGCCGGGACAGCGTCCATTACAGTCACCGACAACGCAAAATTAAGTTATGAATTATGTGAAAAAAAATTCAAAACATTTCGTAAGCAATCCGACTACCGAGTCACCTTCCTCGACGTCATTACGCCAAATTTTAGGTCTACGATTTTATAATTATTTATTATTACTAATAATTATTTATTACCTACTTACACCACAGATGAAATATCTATTGGATTTTGGAACCAAAAAAAACCGGAAAAACCTCTACATCAAAATATAGGTTTCGGTTTATTTTCTTAAAACAATGTATTTAATTGTTCCGGTCCGGTTTCGGTCCTAAGATTTTCAAAAGTTTTCGGTCCAATACCGGTCAATTTCGGTACGGTTCCAGTCCCTGTTATGAACTAATAAATGCATATAATATATCAAAATAATATTACAGTTGTCAGGTGAGTTGATTGGTTGAGGTAATCAAATAGCCACTTTCTTATTTTGGTAATTAATAATTTAATGTAGCATACAAATACTGCTACAGTTTCTATATAGGTAATATATATTATTATATTAATAAATAACAAGATCTTTATATATTTAAATAAAGTTTGTAGGTAGTAAAGTTATTTAATATTTGTATAATATTTTCTATACTATTTGATATTACTTAGATATATGATATATAGTTGTACCTACCTACCATGTATATTTATTTAATTATGAGAATTAATAGTAATAATACATCTATATTATAATACATAAGTCATATGTAAGTACATAATATATAGTATCAATTTGTTATTCATCATTTATTAATTATGTATTTGTTTTATTGATTTGAAACTCATGTAAATATACATGATAGCCCTACCTATATTTTGAGTAATATCTAATCATATCATTATACAATTTAACTGCCAGAATTTAATTAAATACATAATATAGTTAGTAATTTTTTGTTTATTAATATACATAATTTGACTCACCTAAAAACTGTAATATATTAAGTAGTACCTATGTATACCTACATGTAGGTTAGTTATATTACTATTGTCTATTCATGTAAGTAGAAAATACCCATAGTTATAATAACAAATAGTTTATTTCATATAATACTCATATTTAAACCTATCTATATAAGTTATATCAAATAGTATATAGTTATATCATTATACAATCTAATTGCCAGACTTAAAATAAAGAGGTACATAAAGTTCTATTTTGTTTATTAATATAGTATTAACTATTATTTGTATCTGTAGCAGTATTATAATCTAACCAGGGGTACGACACTCCGTGAATTGGTCGGATCGGGAGATTGTGGCCTTGAAAATGGTCTCTAAAGGGGCGTGGCATACGTTACAGTAAACAGTGGAAACAATTTTTCTATGCTGGAAACAACCCGACCCGCGCAGAATACCCTGCCTATTAATCGGAGACGGTTTTTCAATACGAGTATAACATCATGTTGGTAAACGGAAACAGTTTGAATGTTCGGACTTCAGATCATAGGTAAACACTTCACCCATCAGCTGATCGAGTGTCGCTTCTATATTGTTCTATGATCTAACCAAATCTTACTGACCTAAAAACTGTTATAGCTGTATCAAGTACCTACTACTTAGTATATTATATATTTAATATTTATAACGTTTAATAGTTTTTGTCGTTTATAGTAGGTAGTAGAGCGATTTAGAAGCGAAACTCGATAAGCTGATTGGGATTTTGTTTCCCCGTGATCCTCCGAAAAACACGGAAACGTTTCCGTTAATCATATTTATATGACGAAAAAAAAATCGAACTTTTCGTCGCATATTTTCATTTCCGTATATAGTAATAACGACACTGTCCGCTCTCCGATCTCCTCCGCGGCACTCGACTCGAGCGAAGTACTGACTTATACATTTGGCGGGGAACGCGAATAAGTCATCAACTGGGATTGCAGAAATGTCGAAAAGGGCTAAAACTGGATTTTTAGAAAAAAAACGACGCGACGCATATATTTAGCGAGGAACTCGAATAAGATCCAAACGGGGAGGGCGATACGACCGAAACGGGCTAAAACTCGAATTTTTGAAAAAAACTGCAAAAAAAAGAAAATCGAAGTTTTCGACGCACATATTCACGCCCGTGTATAGTAATAAATAGTATCAAAGACTGCTTTGATGGGTAACCTGAATAAGTCTTCGACGGAGAAATCTGAAGTCAGTAGAGGCAGCAAAATTCGAATTTAAAAAAAAAAACCGAACATTTTCGTTAAATACGATAAGCCGGAAGTGATAGCGAAACGACGAAAAAAAAAAGTGAAAAAAAAATTCAGAACGGGGTGAATTGCAACTGCAAGGTGAATTGCAACAAGTCTTCAGTTATTTGTTTATTATTGATGACGAATATTCAATTTAAGTGTTATCACTATGAAAAAATAAGAATTAAATTCTTTGTGATAAATGTTATCTATTGGAAAAAAAATTATTGTTATCGGATTATTTCTACCTCCACAGCAAAATATTTCCTTCGCGCTTATCAATTTACTCATTTTATAACCGCCAAAATCCTAGTTCAGTTGATATTGTTAAAATGTCACTATCACAGTAATTTTTTTTTTTCTGAATAGAAAATTTTGTAAATTTATAAGAAATTTACAATACAACAACGTAAGTACATTTTTCAATTAATTATATATTTTGGAATCATACATTTTTAGTAGTTAACCAAAAATGGGGTGATTTGCAACAAAAACATAAATAGTACCAAAAATGTGTTGTTTTACACTTTCATGAACCTACTTTTAAAATACATTTTTTTTTCAGATGCCTAGAGTATATATTTCTGATCCCAGAGGGAAACAGTATAGAAAAAGAAATGAAGATGATTTAAATGCTGCTGCTACTGAAGTTAAAAATGGAATTTCTCTAAGGAAAGCTGCTGAAAACTATAATGTGCATTACTCAACACTCCAAAGATGGGTTAAAGCTAACGGAAAAAGGAGAACAATTGGAGGTCAAACAGTTTTAGATGCAGACATGGAAAATATGATTGTTGAAAGATTAGTAAAATGTGCTGAATGGGGCTATCCCATGGACACTATGGACCTACGAATGATAGTAAAACATATTTGTGATAAAAAAGGTATAGTTATAAAACGGTTTAAAGACAATATGCCTGGTCATGAGTTTGCACTGTCATTTTTAAAAAGACATGCAAAGAGCATTACTCCCAGGATTTGTCAAAATATAAAAAGGGCAAGGGCTGCTGTTTCGCCAGAACAAATTGATAATTATTTTAATAAATTAGAAGTATCAATTGAAGGTATACCATCATCAAATATTATTAATTATGATGAAACTAATTTATCTGATGATCCTGGCAGATCCAAGGTAATTGCTAAAAAGGGAATGAAGTACCCGGAACGAATCATGAATTCAACCAAGTCTGCAACATCCATCATGTTTGCCGTATCTGGGGATGGTGTTGTTTTACCTACTTATGTAGTTTATAAATCAACATATTTATATGGGCCTTGGAGAAATGGTGCTCCAAAAGGAACACGATTCAATTGTTCTAAATCAGGTTGGTTTGACACAAAATGTTTTGAAGACTGGGTGTTTACTGTTGCTATTCCGTACTTGAAAAAGTTAGACGGTCCGAAAGTGCTTATAGGCGATAATCTATCTTCCCACTTATCTTGTGATGCTATTAATATGTGTGCTGAAATTGGAGCAAAATTTGTATTTCTGCCAGCTAACTCAACACACTTAACACAACCGTTGGATGTAGCATTCTTCAGGCCTCTAAAACAAACATGGAGAACGATTTTAAAGGAATGGAAAAAAGGCCCTGGTCGAAAAGAACCATCAGTTCCAAAATCAATTTTCCCTACCCTTTTGAACAAATTAATTACTGCTTTAGAACCCAATCGTAGATCCAATATTATATCTGGATTTGAAAAGTGTGGCATAATCCCTTTAAATCGAAACAAAGTACTTAGCATGATACCAAATGCAAATACTCCTGAATCAAGTATTGTAGATAGTTTTGTGGTTGAGGATTCTGTTTTAAATATATTAAAAGATCTTCGATATGAAACACCACCTAAGACCAGATCCAAAAGAACTAGATTAAATGTTGAACCTGGTAAAAGTGTGGGTGTATCTTCATCAGAATCAGAAAATGGCGATGATGAAGAACACGTGGACAAGCCAGATTTCTTATTAACAAATATTGATGCTCCAGATATTATGAATGTTGATGAAATGAATACCGATACTCAAGATAATACTGATCCTGATGATGAAATAAATAGTCCAGATACTCAAGATAATATTGATCCTGATGAAATAAATAGTCCAGATAGTAATGATCAAACAATTCCAGTAACAATTGCTCCAAATGTTAAGTATGTAGAGATTAATAATTCAATTAAAATTGTTCAAAATATATATGACATAGACATATCAGACATTAATGTTGGTGATTGGTTGTTGGTTCAGTACCATTCAGATATGTATATTTGTAAGGTAAGTAAAATTGGTGTCATTGAATTTGAAGGGGAATTTTTGAGAAAAAAACCTTCTCTCAAAAAAGATTCAGATTTTATGCTATTTGTTTATCCACAAGTCCCTGATTTATATGAATTTATGTATGACCAAATAATTGGGAAACTAGATCCTCCTGCTATAAAAAGAGGCATTCATAAATTTAATGTTATTTTTTAATGTTATTGTAAAAAAATTGTAATTTTGTTATACTATTTACTTACATGCTCATTTGTTCTTTTATTTTATAAGATATTACTTACCTTTTTAATTTCAAAGACTGAAATTTGTTAAATTTGTTATATTATGTTAACATATAATTTTGCTTTATTACTTAGTTGCTCATTTATTTTTTTTATTTTATAAATATTACCTACCTTTTCTATTTCAAAGACTGAAATTTGTTATATTATGTTAAAATATAATTTTGCTTTATTACTTACTTGCTCATTTGTTTTTTTATTTTATAAGATATTAATAAAAAATGTAATTTTGTTATACTATTTACTTACATGCTCATTTGTTCTTTTATTTTATAAGATATTACTTACCTTTTTAATTTCAAAGATTGAAATTTGTTAAATTTGTTGAATTTGTTATATTATGTAAACATATAATTTTGCTTTATTACTTAGTTGCTCATTTATTTTTTTTATTTTATAAGATATTACCTACCTTTTCTATTTCAAAGACTGAAATTTGTTATATTATGTTAAAATATAATTTGTTTTTATTACTTACTTGCTCATTTGTTTTTTTATTTTATAAGATATTAATAAAAAATGTAATTTTGTTATATTACTTACTATATGGTAATTAGGAGATACACTTTTATATAAATTTATGAAATAATAAAGTGATTTCAAAGACTGAAATTTGACAAAGTTTGTTATATTTTTATGTTACTAAAACTTGAGATATTTATTATTTTGCCTAAAATAATCAGAAAAAATTGAAAATTATATCAATAAATTCAAAAAATTGCCTATTTTTAAAAAAAAAAAATGTATGTAGTGTTTCAATTCACCCATTAATTGTTTTAAATGAATAAAACATGATTAACCATTTTTCACCCCATTCAAAGGTGAATTGCAACAAAGTCAAATAAAAATATATTATAAAAAAACTTTATAAGTTATATTTTTGAATTATACTTATAATGATAAACAAGGTAACAACAATTGTAAAAGAGTGTTTTCCTTAACGGTATTATAAATGTCTGATTTTTAAATGAAGATCAAAGTTGGGTATAACTCAAAAATCGTTGCAATTCACCCCATTATAGCGATACGTAATCGGTACCTACTCTAGTTTCCGCGACGCCACTCCTCCCCGGGGCTCGTTTTTGAAAAAGTAGGGCCGCGCGCCGGCTATAAATTTAGCGTGGAACTCGAATACGTCGCCGACGGGCAGGTCGGACGTCTCGTAGAGGTGCTAAACGCGCCTCTAGTCGAAAAAGTCGAGAAAACCGTCGAAACGGCGACGACGCGGCGCTCTCGGCGATCGACTGGTCTGCCGGAAGACTGGATTATAAAAAAGTAGGGCCGCGCGCCGACTATAAATTTAGCGGGGAATGCGAATGAGATCCGAACGGGGAGGTCGATACGCCCTAAAACGCCTAAAACTCGAATTTTCGAAAAAAAACGGCAAAAAACGCGCGCGACGGCGGCGCTCCGTTGGCACTCGACATCCGCCGCCGCGGGCCCGCCAGGCCAAAAGTAGGGCCGCGCGCCGACTATAAATTTACCGAGTAACGCGATTAAGGTCCGAACGGGACCTTCCGGGGCCCCCGAGGGGGGTAAAACTCGAACATTTTGAAAAAAAATCGTGAAAAACGGTCGAAACCGCGAAAAGCGATAAGGAGGAGTGATAACGCCGCCGCGATTTCCCGCCATTCGTTCCTTTACTGTCCCTATCGGTGTGGCGGTGCGGATTTTACTGTCCCTATCGGGGGACCCGAACTCCTCCCCTGGGGGGGATAGGGGGTCCGGGTTTGCGGGGGCTGGTCGGCGCCCTCGAGAGCCGCTAGGGTGGCGTCGAGGGGGCAAAATTTTTTTCCCGGAACTCTAGGAACGATAGGGGGTCTTCTGGCTGGACTTTAAAAAGCGATAAGGAGGAGTGATAACGCCGCCGCGATTTCCCGCCATTCGTTCCATTGTTGACTATAGCAGTTGAGATTTAACACATAGGAGGCGCCCTCGGTTTCTTGCTTTATATAATATAGTGACTAGCTCTCCGAGCGTCGATGGGGGACACCCCCAGCCCCCCGTGACCGGGCCCCGAGTGTTGTCGATTTCGGAAGCAGCGGTGGTCTCGTGGTGTGCTCGTGGATCTCAGCCGACGCAGTGTATGGGTGATGTGGAGATCTGGTGATAAGGACATTGGATTTGTGATAAAAAATAGTGATAATGATATTGGATTTATGATAAGGATAGTGGTTTTGTGATAAAAAAGTAGTGATAAGGATATTGGATTTGTGATAAGGATGTTATATTGGTGGATGTTAGATGGTGGATTAGGTTACCAGTGGATAAGTTAACCGGATAGCTGTCAAAATTATTTACTTATGTTAATCACGTAAAAAAATTCAAATATCACATAGCCGCTGCGATTTTTTGAGGGTATAGCAGGTCAGTCACGTTCCTCGACTTTGGTCGTAGTCACCCTTAAAGCCAATCCGACAATATACGACCGCTGGGGCACGTCATCACGTATGCTATCTGACTGCGTCGAATCGCGGACGACGTTCATTACTGTTACCGAAAACGCAAAATTAAAGAATAAATTACGTGAAGAAAATTCAAAATATTTCTGGCGTCCATAAAAGTATTATAGCAACCGTCTGTTTTTTTGCTGTCTAGCAGGTCACACATCTATGTTATCCAGGTAGGCATTCCGACTCGATGTTGGACGTAGTCACCCGGGTAGACAACGTGACGACCGGTACACGAACCGGTACATCAGCTATATAATTTACGTGAATATATCTCTTGGGGTCTAGCAGGTCAGTCACCTCGAAATGATGTTCGCCGTAGTAATAGCGGACAATGTGTGACGGCCGCGGGTCACGTCATCAGGTATGCGATCCGACTGCGTCGAATCGCGGACACCGTTCATTACTGTCACCGAAAACGCAAAATTAACTAAATATCTGATCTGGTCGTTGTTCTCGAGCCGGTCCGTGTGTGATAAGGGTTAGGATCACCGCGGTTCGACGTGGTAGCCCGTATAAGCAACAATGTTAGCCGACAACGTTCTTAAATGCCGCCAGAAATTCAAAATCCCGTAAAGAAATCATATAGCTGAAGCGACGTCCTCCTTAGTAATACGGCTAGGATATCCGACAATGTGCGACGGCCGAGTTTTATAGCCGGCTTCTTGTTTGGGTGTTACTACACATAGGACATGAATCATAACCCTGAACCTACAGATGATTATGAAAATCTAATATAGTAAAATATATAAAAAATAATATAGTCGTTGTATTTTTGTGGGTGTCTTGCCGGTCAGTCACCTCGAATGACGTTCGGCGTAGTTATAGTATTTTGGGTCTAGCTGGTCAGTCATGTTTCTCGACTTTGGTCGTAGTCACCCTGGAAGGCAATCCGACAATATTCGACGGCTGGAGCACGTCATCACGTATGCGATCCGACTGCGTCGAATCGTGGACGACGTTCTTTACTGTTACCGAAAACGCAAAATTAAAGAATACATTTCGTGAAGAAAATTCAAAATATTTCGGGCGTCCGTGCAAATCATACAGCCACCGTCTGATTTTGGTGTCTAGCAGGTCACCCATCTATGTTATCCGGGTAGGCAACGTGCGGCCGGGACAGCGTCCATTACAGTCACCGACAACGCAAAATTAAGTTATGAATTATGTGAAAAAAAATTCAAAACATTTCGTAAGCAATCCGACTACCGAGTCACCTTCCTCGACATCATTACTTCAAAATTTAGGTCTACGATTTTATAATTATTTATTTATTATTAGTAATAATTAGTGATTACCTACTTATACCACAGATGAAATATCTATTGGATTTTGGAACCAAAAAAAACCGAAAAACCTCTACATCAAAATATAGGTTTCGGTTTCTTTTCTTAAAAAAATGTATTTAATTGTTCCGGTCCGGTTTCGGTCCTAAGATTTTCAAAAGGTTACGGTTCCAGTCCTTGTTATGAACTAATAAATGCATACTTATCAATATAATATTACAGTTGTCATTTAAGTAATTGGTTGAGGTAATCAAATAGCCGCTTTCTTATTTTGGTAATTAATAATTTAATGTAGCATACAAATACTGTTTCTATATAATATATATTATTATATTAATAAATAAAAAGATCTTTATATATTTAAGTAAAGTTTGTGGGTAGTAAAGTTCTATACTATTTGATATTACTTACATATATAGCTGTACCTACCTTGTATATTTATTTAATTATGAGAATTAAATCAAATTAATAAATAGATCATTTTATTGATGAATAGCAAATTTGATTGACCTTAAACGTAGGTATGTATAAATGTATACACTATACAATGCTATAGTTTGTATTTTTTGGCATTTATCTTACTGAGTAGGTCTACTATCATAATATTTTGCTGTTATATTGTATGACTGTATATAATATATTATGTACCTACCTACCAATTTATTTAATGTCATATGATATTCATGATAGTTTTAAATTATTTAGTAATTATAATTGCACATTTATAATGGTGCATCATTGTGTTATGACTTATCTGTTATGTGTATGCAAGTGTGTATGAATGTATTTTATATTGTATATACTTAATACATCTATTGGTATAATAGTAATACATATATATTATAATGCATATAGGTCATATGTAAGTACATAATATATAATATCAATTTGTTATTCATCATTTATTAATTATGTTTTTGTTTTATTGATTTGAAACTCATGTACATAAATAAACATGATAGACCTACACATATTTTGAGTAATATCAAATTATGTCTTATCATTATACAACATAACTGCCAGAATTTAATTAAATACATAATATAGTTAGTAATTTTTTGTTTACTAATATACATAATTTGACTCACCTAAAAACTGTAATATATTAAGTAGTACCTAGTATACCTACAAGTATGTTGGTTATTATTACTATTGTCTATTCAAGTAAGTATAAGATAACC